GGGCCTTCTTACTAGAACATTCTACTCCCTACCATCATGCCAATCATTCACCTAGTTGGTGTCTATATGCTCCAAGACTAAGTAAGGCAAAATGTTTCCCCCTCCTAAGCTAGGACATCCTTAAAGTACTATGTTTGGTTCATTCTTCTCTTCCTGCTTCAGCAGAATGCTTGCCCTATTCCAACGCTTGATGCCCATTAGCGAGATGAGCTTGGAAATCTCTGATCACGTGGTTAAGGTGACACATCTGTGTGGTTCAAAGGAAGAACGTGCTTGGAATCAGGTAGATCTGGGCTTAGGACACACAGCTCTGTCACTTCTGGTCTAAGACGTGCAGGTGACAAATTGCACAGTCTAATCAGAATGCAGGTCGTCATCTGCAAGTGATGACCATTTACTCAGCAGAGGTAGTTTCAGAACTATACAATGCCTATCAATGATTGTAACTGCTGGAGTTAAGATTTATTCCTACACAAATAAGATCAAAATCAATAGCAATCAAGTCAGCGCGCCGCCTGAAACAAACACTGAACTCTCTGTCAAATACGTGAGAATAACTGAACACACCTATAAACAACGCGAAGCAATCCAGGTCCCTGTGAGGGTGTTGCAAATGAAATATGCATGGGAGTGCTTACCAGGAGCAGTTCCTTACCTTTCTGTCTAGCTGCCCAGTCTATGCCCTGCGGGAAATTCTCAAATGTGCTGAAAGCAGTACGGTCAATACAACATGGGCTCGATTTTAATAATTGAAGTCCATATTGACCAGGCAAGTAAATGCTATTACCCACACAGTTCTTAGGTAATTCTTAAAAGTCAACTGATATGGCACTCACTGAGTTGGAGCCGGGAGAGGTGAGGCAACTTCCCAAGGTCCCACACCGGGCAGGAGATGCCCTTTGATTGCAGAAAATTTTAAGATGTAGAATCCTTGCTTCTTCTTTTGATGGTGTGAGAACTGTTGACAACCTGGGAACACCTTGAGTTTCTCCAAAGTTTCTCATGTGGAAGTTTCCAATGTGGATACTTTTGTAAATCAAATAGCATGAAATGGGGGTCATAGTAGTACATTTTAGACTTTCTACCACAGCTGGTCTTGCCCAGCTCTGGGATCTGCTGATGTCTCAAGGCTGGAAGCCCCGTTAGCTGCTGTCATAATACACATCCCCAAAGTGGCACTTATGAAGCCATGACTAAAGGCATGGGCTGAGGGACCTGTCTACTTTCCCGACAGCACCAAAATACTGTTAATTTGGACTTATTTCTACTTTGGAGTTAGTCTTGTTCTTTGAAGAAAAAAAAAAAGCAGCCGGTGATTGCACGCCAACCCACCTGACTTGGTTTTCAGATAGGGAAGAAAGACTGGTTTTTCTCTTACTGGTCAATGAAGTGTTTGTCTGCTGTTGCTGCTGAGACCTACTTGTACCAGCCCTGGCACTGTGGACAGCCACGGGAGGACTGTCGGTTGGTTTTCCATCACCTCACATGGTAGACTTCTTAATTCTGACACTGGTGGATACACACTGTTAAACAAGCCTCACTGTTTGTCAGCTCACCGAGGAGCCCTGTGGTGGTGTGACCTCCTCCCCAGCTACCAGCACCTAAACTTGTAATACTTGGAATTTTCAATGTATTGTATTTTTTTTTAAAAAAAAAGTGTTTATTTATTGACAGGATCTGTTTCTGGGCTGGTTTTGAACTTTCTAAGCAAGCCAAAGATGGTCTTGAACTTACGATCTTCCTGTGTCTACCCCACCAAATGCTGGGATTACAAGGTGTGTACCACCATCCCTGGTTTTATGTGGTAATAGGGATTGAACCCAGGGCTTTGTACTTGCTAAGCAGGTGCTGTACTAGTTGAGCTACAACTCCCTAACTTAAGAATAGCTTATTCTTAACCCCTAGCTCTGCAATTTACTGAGTATTTCATTAGTTCATTAAGAATTTTATTTACTCATTTAGAAATTAATTCAGCACTTGCTATATAGCAGTATATGGAGACCACACAGTACTGCGATGAAAATGTGAATCTTTGTCAAATCTAAGAAGCATGACTTTGCTTCCTGCTTTTGTAGCTCATTTGTCAATCACACAACTGGTTTATACAGATGCTAAGAATGGGTGGTGATGGTGCACGCCTTTAATCCCAGCACTCGGGAGGCAGAGGCGGGCAGATCTCTGTGAGTTCGAGGCCAGCTTGGTCTACAAGAGCTAGTTCCAGGACAGGCTCCAAAGCTACAGAGAAACCCTTTCTCAAAAAAGACAAAAACAAAAACAAAAAAACAGATGGCAAGAACACCAGAAGGCTTGACTTTAAAAGTCCTGCTCTGCCACCCATCCGTTCTGTGACAAGGACAAATTTCTCTGAGCTTTTGTTCCTCCATCAGTAAAATAATTGAGACTAATACCAACCTTATAGAATTCCTATGGACAATTAAAATTAGGTGTGCTATAAGGTACCCAACACCATAGCTGAGCAATAACAGGAACTCAATAAACTAATATATTACATCTATAGCCAGGACCCAGGCACTGCCGAAATAGATATATTTGGTATTTACAGCTGCCTTCAAGGAAGGAATAAAAGTTTTTTAAAAATTAAATTCAAAAACCCACTTTATAACCCATTTTAGGCACTTTTATGATGGCACTTAAATCTCAGTAATTTTTACCTTCACCTACACACTTATTCATTTATTCCATAAATAAATGCACTTCTCTGCACCTGGCACCTTCTGTGCTCCATGACTTGTCTGGGTCTGGAAATCTAGCATCAAATAAGATGGATCAAACTTCCCCTTGAACAGGCAGAGCCACATTCCCTGCTGTGCCCTGTCACACAAACATGGAGCCATGGGATGATTGGCCTAAACTTCAGAGGACCGCCAGGGCCGGAGTTCTGTGGTAGGCTTGGGTTGGTAGACCCAGCATGGCCCAGATGCAGGAAAGGACATAATCGGAGAGGAAGCGGTGAGTCTGGTTTGGTCATTGGGTGGGGTAGGCAAACACGAGCAATGGGGAGTCTTATGGACATGTGTATGAAAGCTGGGAGGTACTCAGGTGTCCCAGAAATCCAGACTGATGAATGTGGGCTCCCTTGCAGCCCATGGAGAACCATGTGTACTGATTGAGGGGTGGGCAACAGAACTGTGGTTTTTGCTCCAGAAATATCAATTGGGTGATAGTACAGAGAGTGGATGAAAAGTAGAAACTAAGGACAGAGAAGACCAAGACGCCAGCTGCCTGAGCATCAGTGCCCAAGCTGGGCGGTGATGGCATGCACCTTAATCCTAACACTGAGAGGCAGAGACAGGCTGATCTCAGTGATTTCTCAGGAGACAAAGACAAGCAAATTTCAGTGAGTTTGAGGCCAGCCTGGTCTCCAAAGTGAGTTCCAGGACAGCCAGGGCTACACGGAGAAACGCTGTCTCAAAAAACAAAACAAAACAAAACAAAAAAAGCAAAAAAAAAAAAAAATCACTGCTCCACTTGGGATTCATTTTAGTCAAGGACAGGCAGACTGTACTCTTAACAGATTCAGGTGAGTTCTGTACTCTTTCCTCAGTGTTTGCAAAGTTAAAAATGTGCCTAAGAAAAGAAAAACGCTCACCTCGACTCATCTGAGAAAGCGTATGATCTCATATAAAGAAAAATTCTTTTGCCATGTAAGGAATCCTTGGCATCCTTAGCAGAATAAATTAAACAAGTGTGTGAAGATGTCCCTGAAGAAGGGCCCGATAGCAGGATACTGATCAGAAGTTGACCCACAGGCTGGAGATTTAAGATGCTGCGAGCAAAATTTGGCTTTGTGTGATGAAGTCCACTGTAATATAGGGCTAGAGGGAGGGGCCACATAAGATCACGGGCAAGGAGCGGGGTGCTGCTGGCCCGCCTGAATCACGCAAACAGGTTTGCACAGATAATACTCCTCCTCCCTCCTGGAAGTGCTCCTGACTTAGGTCTCATTTTCTGTTGATGGAAAACAGCTGTCTCTTGGACCAGCGAGTGTCACACAGCAAGCAACCTCCAGTCATTACCTGACACATTCCACACTTAATCTTAGCCAAAAGGCCCTCAAGTTATATGGGCCTGTTACCTTCTCTTGGAGTCTATAGAATCAACACAAAGGACTGCAGTCCAAAATTTGGCTTCCCAGTTAATATTCTACTGTAAGAGCTATAGAGTTACAGCCTACATGAATCGTCTGGTTTGCTACCCATTTTTAATAGTCTCTGTAATAAGAATAATGCTACCGATAGGATCAAAAGAATGGGTCATATTTCATAATGCGTGAAATTGTATGAAGTCCAAATATTAGTATCCACAATGTGGCTTTGTTGGGGTACAGTCCATTCATTAATATGTTGCCTATGCCTGCTTTTACATACAACGGCAGAGTTGGGTGGTTATATCAAAGATCGTACGGCTGAGAAATCCTAAAAGGTTTTATATCTGGTCCTTTACAGAGGTTTGTTGACTCTTGTTCTTGAAAGAAAACATGCATGACCAAAAAGAGCGGGGCAGGAGAGATGACTCAGCATTTAAGAGGGACTTGTTTCTCTTCCAGAGGACCAGGGTTCAATTCCCAGAGCCCACATGGTAGGTCACAAGAGTCTGTAACTCCAGTTCCAGGAAATCTGACACCCCCTCACAGATGTACATGCAGGCAAACAACCAACGCATCTAATAAATCAATCAATAAATAAATTTTTTAAATGCAAAAAAAGAGGCAGAAGATGGCTTTAACAGTTAAGGGAACTTGCTGCCAATTCTGATGACCTGAGTTCATTACCAGGAAACCACATAGTAGGAGAGAGACAACTCTTCAAATTGTCCTCTGTCCTTCATACATGTACTATGGCATACATGTACACACACGCATGCGTACACATATGCATGCGCGCATGAGCACACACTAAATAAACACATAAATAAATGTTAAAAAAAATTAAGTAAAAAAAAACTATAAGTTATGAGGTAGGAAGAGGTGAAGGTTAAACCTGAACAAAGAGGGTTTCTCCTAGGCATCCCTCGCAGGTGCCAAGCCTTCCGCCGACAGGAGTCTGACACTCATTACTTCCGGACTGATGATCACTATGCTTGGCAGCGCAGCGGCGGGCTTTAAACATGACAAGCAGCTGGACTGTGCCCGAGGTGCAGAGGTGAGGAAGGACTCTGAGGATCTGTGGATCACTGGGTTCACAGGCAGAGTCTTCGCTTAGGTTCATGATGTTGAAACAAAATGGGAGGAGCCACCCCCCACACTCTCTCTCTCTCTCTCTCTCTCTCTCTCTCTCTCTCTCTCTCTCTCACACACACACACACACACACACACACACACACACACACACACCGGAGACCTAACTGCCTCCCTCCTGGGACTCACTCCTTCACTGTGGCTAGTAACTCTCCCGCTAAAGGGGTGTCTAAAACTTCTAGAATTCAGCTTTAAACATCACAGCCTCTCTGCCTGAAAAGCTTCTTTTCACGGTCCCAGGAGACATTCAAGAGACCGGTTCAACCTTTATTCGTGGTCTAAACACAAGCTGCTATAGGTTACCGAGAAGGGTAGCTATTGTTATTCACTGATAAAATGTTCTGTAGCTTACTCTGATTTCCATTGCCATTGTCTTGAACTTTACGGTCCTGTCTTCTTTGTACTACCAGCATGAGAACAGCTGTCAATATAAAAACCCTTGCCTAATTGCAAAAAAATCTTTGACCTAAAGAACTACTCAGGTGTCGGAGAGTAGCTCAGTGGGCAGAGCCCTTGCCTAGTACACATGAAGTCCATAGGTTCCATCCTTACTACTGTATAAGCTCAGTTGGTAGCAGATTCTGGAATCCCAGCACTCTCCAGGTAGGGACAGGAGAATCAGAACTTCAGCCAGCCTTGACTACACAGTGACTTGGAATCCTGCCTGGACGACTTAAGACCCTGATTTTAAAAATAAATAAATGAGTCTAGTAAAAGTTTCATCAGGCAGGTAAGGTCTTTCCTGGTCACGAGTTCTCTCCCTAAAACTCGTGGAAAGGAGTTAGAAGAGACCCAACTGTACAGAAAGTGTACTCTGCCTTCCACATGCCCTGTGTTACCCAGGGCCACGCATACACACATACATTTTAAAGGATAAAGAAAAGCTCCTAAGTTGTGTGTTCAGCTCGAAATGGGAGGAAGTATTCCAAGAGCACACACAGTTCCTTCAAATGACAAAAGGATTTCAAATTATGAGCATTGGCAAGACCAAACTCAGATGGCAATGTTTCCTGAAATTTATCAGGAAGTGAAGGAAGGTGAAAGAAGAAGGATGGACATCCTCATCCTCCTGCAGCCCACACGTCTTTTCAGGAGATGGCATGTGACTTTAACACAACTTTGTTTAGAGACATCAAGCGTGTGTTTTGAGTGTGGCACCATGTTTTGTTTTGACAAAGACAAAACAAGCCCGATTTTTTCCACTGGTAAAATAGCTTTCATTTTCACTTGGAAAATTTGGAAATCTATTTGGTGAGACTTTATTTACTTAAACATTTAGGTAGGAAGCAAGATCTCAGTCAAGAAATTTTTTAGTTAATCTTCCACAGCCTGTACACACACACACAACACACACACACACACACACACACACACACACAAAGATATTACTGGAAACATTTCCAGATTTGTTTACCCTCAAATAATATGCTCTATGTTCATTCTTAGAAAAAAGGAAGAATTCCACAGAAAGAAATACTTCCATGACTGGCTGAGTCATTCTGTGGAGACGTTTCCAGTAAACTGCATTACACTGGATGCCGTTCAAAAGAGAAAATGTCAAGCCCGACGAGGCTCAGTGTGCTGTGTGGGTGGGTTTGCTCAAGTACAGAAATCAAATAAAGGCATTGGAACCAATATCTTGGGAAAGAACAGAATAACTTACAAATCAGAGATGGGATTTTAGAAGCTCTTTTTCAGCCGAATATTAAAAATGGATGTAAATTAAAACTACACAAATGACATTCATTGTATTTTTTTTCTGAGAATCTTAAAGTTGAAAATTGGATGTTATAAAATTAAAACTTTCTCCTTTGTAAAACTTTGATGCATGTTTCTCATAGACTTTGACATTTTTATTTAAAATCTGCTGATAGGGATTCTGCGTGCAGCCTAGCCCTCTCCCTTCATTAGAAAGTTACCTATGGAAGGGCATGGTTATAAGACTTTTTGTGGCTGTTCTTTTATTCATTTGTATTTTATAATCTTCCTGTAGATTGCTTACGCTTATAAGGGAAAATACATTAAAATGATCAATAATTCAAGTATGAAAATTGAGGGTTTTCACTCTAAAAATCAAGACGGCACAAGCAGAAAATTGGACACTAAAATTTCCAGTGTTCCAAAATACACTGCTAAGAAACTCCAAATTCATTCAAGACGCTCTTGATGACACCTTCACAGTCAATTCGTTCTTGGCCAAAGAGCATGCTACTCAGTATGAACAAACCTTTTGCTTTGTTCTTAGCATGCTAAGAATATCAAAGGGTCTGAAATTGTGTCACTTTGGGGACCAATCAGTCCAACACTGCTTCGAGCCACCAAATTTACCGTGTCCTATAGTTACCTAATGATTTTTAATGTAGAACTTAACATTTACCTCTGTCAGGTTTGATTGCGACACCCCGGTTTCTTCTTCCTCAACAGGTGCTAAGGAGAGCTCTGGAAACATGGCCATGAGGGATTGTTCCTGGGTGTGGAGAGTCTGTTCTGCAGAACGGCTCAAGCCTCCACAACATGGTTTTGCTTCCTAGATCCTCAGCCCTCCCTCCCCATTGTTAGAGAGCGATTAACACAAACCCATAATTCACTTGTCCATGGGCATATGATACCAAATTTTGTTCATTTTCTAAAACCATATCCTGTTGTGGGAGTCCCCCTCTGTATGCTGTGAATATGTCTTGTTGCCATTAGTTAATAAAGAAGCTGCTTTTGGCCAATGGCTTAACAAAATAGAGCTAGGCAGGAAAACTAAACTGAATGCTGGGAGAAAGTAGGTGGGGTCAGTGAGAAGCCGTGGAGCAGCCAGAAGAGAAAGATATGAGCTGCCAGCTGGTAGGCCATGACCTTGTGGTGATTCACAGATTAATGGAGATGGGTTAGCTTAAGATACAAGACCTAGCTAAAAAATACATTTAAGCTATTGGCCAAACAGTATTGCAGTTCGTACAGATTTCTCTGTGATTATTTCGGGAGCCTGGGTGGCTGGGAAATGAACAAGCAGCCTCCGGCAACAATGTCCTACACCATTCTTTGCTTTCCTTGATAGTTAAATGGGGATTCTATATTAGTGTTGACTTGACGTCCTAAAACTTAAATACATAATGTAGATGACATGCTTAACAAAGCGTTATCTCTGGTGTGCATCATATCAGCAAATCGTGGACCAAAGTAGCAGTGATACTAGCGGGGCCAGGCATGCTGTGGTCTTAATATAAATTAGGATGCTAGAGTTTCAGAAGGCTCATAGCTGACAGGGGCATCAGAGCAGAAAAAAAAACAAAGACTTTATGAAGAAGATGATGCTGGAGGTGGATCTCACAAGGAGAAAAGGTGATGGTAAGTAGTATCCTCAGAGTATGAACGATGCACAGTTCGCGTAGGAGAGGAAGATGGGTGAGTTTGTAGAAAGGCAGAATGGCTTGTAAGGGGGGTTGGGTGGGGCTAAGAATCTTGAAGTCATTTCATTGACCAAGACTCCCCCATGTTGGCAGGCAAGAGCAAGACATGACAAGGAGAAGCGTGTCTTTCAAAGACTGACTTTGGTGTCCAAAGGAACAGATGAGCCATGAGACAGATGTCAAGGGGCTCGTTTGGGAATTTATTTACAAATCATAAGCAAGTGTAAAGGAAAGAGTCCTGTCAAGTACTGCCATGGTAACAGAGTAAAAAGACACATGAAATACGATTTCAGAAGTAATGAGACTCGTCGGCTGATTGGATGCTGGGAATGAAGGGGAAGAATCAATATGTATTCATGTTTAACCCCAGATGGCTTGAAGAAAAGAGATGCTATTTACATAAGAGTAAAATAAAAACAACTTGGGGTGTCTAGAGGAAGAAGAGAACAGATTTATCTGTGGCATAGTGACTTTGGGATGCTTATAAAATATTCAGATAGTCATGGACAGATTTAAAGCTTGAATAGAGGGCTTCAGCCACTATGTAATTTTTATTCTCTCTCTGTGTATGTGTTTACTTCTACAATATAATTGCCAGTTTTAGTCATAACCTAGAGCTTCCAGAACTATACCATTTTTAGCTTAGATTCATGATTAAAAAAAAAAGTTTTCCCTCGTCTTTGCCAATATGCTAACTTCATAAAGTCTCTCCTTCCTTTATCTCTACTCCTATCAAGAAGATTATTCCTGAAATTCCTCTCCACAGGGCATGGCTGTCACCTAGTAGTCCTGCCAGTAGTATGTTGAAGTCCTCATGTATCACAGTTTGGGTGCACACATAAACCAGAGAACAATCTTTTTCCTTTGCATTTCTCTATGCAGAGGTACCCACGAATGTGTCCTGTGTTTTGGGGAAATTGCTTGTCCCATTTCCATAACAGTTCCTGTGTGGGTCAAATATGAAATGATGCACTGGAAATTCTGAGCACATGCCTGTGTTCTGAGCAGAATTCTCAACCTAAAGCCACGTCTGGCTGGTCCTGGTTCTTCACAAGACTCAATGGGATTGTGACTCAATCCTTTTGCCATTGTCTCGAACTTTATGAATGGTTGCATGTCAATGTAGTAGTTTGAGTTAAAATGTCCTCTATAGACTCATATAGTCAAATACGTGGTCCCCAACTGTTCAGAAAGGATTAGAAGGTGTGGCTTTGTGGAAGGAGGTTTGTTACCATGGTAAACTTTGAGGGTTTCAAACATTGTTCCCACTTAGCTCCCTCTGACTCATGTTTGTGGAACATACGTAAGCTCTCAGCTACTGCTCCAGGACCCTGGCTGCTGGCTGACTGCCATGCTCCTCGCGTGACTCTCATGGTGGCTGAACTCTAACTTCTAGAACTATGAGTCCTCAGAACTGTTCCTACTATAAGTTGCTTTGATCATAGGGTCTCTTCACAGCAACAGAGAAGTAACTAAGAAGATAAGTTATTGATTTAAATGAC